GCATCAGCAATATATTGGACTCCTTGTTGTTCGATTTGATTTCCTACGAGGTAGAGTGCAGTAAGTGCCTGTGTATAATCAGGAAAGAATTGTATGATAACAATGGAGGGAGACTAATTACCTGGTTAACTTTGAGCGCATTAGCAATATATTGGGCTCCTTGTTGTTCGATTTGATTTCCTACGAGGTAGAGTGTGGTAAGTGCCTATGTATAATCAGGAAAGAACTGTATGATAACAATGGAGGGAGACTGATTACCTGGTTAACTTTGAGCGAATCAGCAATATATTGGGCTCCTTGTTGACCGATACCATTTTCTGTGAGGCCGAGTATAGCAAGTGTCTGCGTAAGATGAACAGTTTGTAATAATAGTGAAGAGAGAGGCTAGTTACTCGGTTCATTTTGAGAGCATCAGCAATATGTTGGGCTCCTTGTTGTTCGATTTGATTTCCTTTGAGGTAGAGTGTGGTAAGTGCCTGTGTATAATCAGGATAGGACTGTATGATAACAATGGCGGGAGACTGATTACCTGGTTAACTTTGAGCGCATCAGCAATATATTGGGCTCCTTGTTGACCGATACGATTTTCCGTGAGGCCGAGTATAGCAAGTGTCTGCGTAAGATGAGAAAAGAAGTGCATGATCAGGATAAAGAAAGAAAACTTTTTGACTAGCTTTTTTGCTATATAACTATCGCTATCGTCTGTAGAACATGTGTTCATAGTTAAAATACAAGATAAAAGTTTAGCACAGTTTTTTATTTTATTGATTCTTAACGAATGACAGTTTATTGAGAATATCCACATGGTGATTTCGTTAGTCCTCAGAGCGCTCTGTAAAAGTAAGGTGTGAAATTTTTCTTGAATTCAGCGGTTTTGGTTTCCATTAAGCGAGAAACTTTTGCCCGGAGAGAAAAAATTTGAGTAAATTTTTAGTATTGAGCGAATATGTTTGTTATTCATCGATAGCTACAAGCTATTTGATACACTATTCGTTGCAGAATTCAGCGAACTACATTTTGGTGAGAAACACTTACTCTCATGTCGAAGTGTTAGCTATAGAATAGTTAGTAATTAATTATTAATAATTAAAATTTACGAAAAGTTTCATTTTAATTTTTTAGCTTCAACTGATTCTATAAGAAAGAATGTTGAAAAATAAACGAGACTGGAATTATTGTTCTGAAATAGAATGTCTTAGTGAGATATTTTAGAGTGCACTGAGTTCTGCATGGACATAGTTTTTCTTATTTCTGGAAGATTCAATTATGACAGAAACCTTTCAATGTGGAAATTAGCGTATTTTGAAGGCCAGAATTCATACTTTCAAATGAGATCTTGCAGCTCTGTGTGCGATACACTGTTGGCATGTCATAACGTTTTGAAATTATGGCATGGAAAATAAAAGCAACATCGCACGGTATTTTGACTTAAATTACTTCTTGAGAGTAAAAACGCTTTAACATGTGAACAGTACATTGTACAGAGAGCAGAGAAGTTTCATTCAAAAGAGTAAACTTGTGTCTTCAAAATGTGCTAGTTTTCTAAATTTAAAGTTTCAACTCATAGATGAACTTCACAAATATAAGGAACACTATGTCTATTCAAAACTTAGTGTACTCTAAACAATTCCAATTAGATGAACTATTTCGAAAAAATAACTACACGGTTTGATCTAGTTTCTAATGCTCTTTCTGATGGAATAAGTTGAAATCGAAATCGAAAGTGAAACTGAAATTTTTTCCTACAAATTTTAACTGTCAATAATTAATATGTAATTATTATATCATTAAAACTGGCACATGTGAATGTTTTTTTACCAAACCATAGCCCATGAAATTTGGCACTGAATAGTATATAAAACAGCTTCCAATAATCCTTGATCAACAAAAATATTCATGAACTACTGGAATATGCCAAGCTTTACCCACCTACTTTGTGGATAGAAACATGTGTATAAGTCGACACTCAGCAATGAAACGATATGAGAAGAGACTAAATAGTTGAGACATGTGGAGGTTGTAATTGCAAGAAAGTGTATTCAATCAACGATGAAACTGTGCGGAGCGGATGGAACTATACAACATTCGTAAAAATGGTGTTTCATGGGATTACGCCGTGGCTTCAA